GTGACGGCCCTGCTGCTGCTGGTGGTCATTATTGCAAACAGCTGCCGTGTGTTTGTATAATTGTGCTTGTCACTAGGTCTTCCTGAAGGGGGTGTGGCCTAGGCCCTTAAGAGCGCACCTGGAGAGTGGAGGAAGAGCGTGCCTGTGGAGAGCGTGCGGTCCGGAGCGCGCCTGACCGTGGCTGTGCTTATTTGTAGCAGCACCTGTGCTGTGGAGAGTCGAGCTGGCTCAGGAGGAAAAAAGAGAGTGAATGCAGTACTGAGGATGACATTTGAGCTAACGGAGTGTTTTGCTGTGTGGCGGATGTGTGGAGCTGTGCAGTGGTGTCAAGCTGAGGAGCTGAGAGGTGTGGTCGTGTCACACTGGAGAGCTGGTGTGTGGAGAGTGATCCTGAGATGCCTAGACAACACGCTGACTCAACAACGCTGGTGGAGAGTTTGGAGCACGACGGTGGCTGAAGACATCCCGACCACAGATTTGTTTTACCAGCCAGTCAAACTGGTACTGAACCACGGACTTTCAGTGGTACAGATTGGTGAGGAACTGCTGGTGACTCCAAGTCCTGGAGCATCACAACGGACGGTCGACAACTCACTTACTCCTAGACATTTAAATAAATGCCTCTTTAGGCTTAAAACTGGTAAAACTGTGCAGTGTTTCCACATACTGTATGCTATGGCTCTTAGAGCTGGGTCGTAACAGACTGGAGAGTGGAGCTGACTGAGGAAAGGATGATGACAACTCAGAACACAAGAGGGAGACAGAGCACACGACACAGATGCTCACAAAGGGGTCTTTGGGCTGCACTACGTATGATCCCTCACATAGGACTTGTTTGCCTTGGGTGACTCTACTAGAGGCACAAAGCCCCTGACAACATGGCTCCTAGGATCATTGGGACACTCAAACCCCTCCATCACAATTAGGTGGAAGCCCAGGGAGAGGCCCAGTTCTATCTTAGTTTGAAGCCTGGTAATATGGGGAAGGAAAAACAATGAACAGTCTAACCAAATTCCTGAGTATATGTACTTACCGTAGTAACCTGTTCAGGGATTGTTTCATATGTAGTAGCAAAGATCAAGTAAGGGGGATTTACATTTTTCTTACAGTTAAACCATAGAACATTTGTTTTGTTAACATTCAAGGATGATTTTAAATTTGCAAAAGCATTTTGAATATCAGAGAAGCTTTGTTTTAGAGACTGAAAGACTGTTTCAGGGGATGGGCCAAAAGCAAACCAAACTGGACATGGGTTTTTACGATGAAAAACAAGTGTGCATTGCCACGTAGCATGTCATTGCAGCATGGCTTTGCCTGCAGCATTGGACTTGCAGAATGAACTTTGACCAAGTTCAAATGTGTTTTCTATACCAGCTTGTGCCTGTCATGTCAGCAGGTGTTTAGAATTAAGGTAATTGTGCGACAATATGAAGTTTGAAGAGATTTTTTCTTAAAGTTGCATTAGCCGGGTTTCGAACCCTGATCTCCCACATGAAAGTTCATGACATAGACCATTAGACCAATGGAGTTGTGGCAGAAGGTGGTGGCAGGGGTTGGTTTGTATGTGTGCAGAAAGAGGCCACATTGCCAATTCAATTATTAACACTAAACTGCATAATATTACAACAATAGAGCAGTATTAAGACAATATTATAGTAAAACATCCAAATACAATCATATTAGTATTGTAAACACTGAACTATTGAGATTAAATATTAAAAAAACTATGGTGCAGTACCAAGTTGAGTACAGCTGGGGGCAGTATTGGACCATTACAAGGCCCCACTGACTCCCATTTTATGAATTTGGAATAAAGTTTAAACATTAATATTTCAAAAACTACAAGTGGTACAGTCAGCAAAAGGCAAAGCAATCATTTGGCACAGGACCTTTACAGATAGAAATTCCAATGGCAGCTGTAGGACAAAGTATGCAGGAGGAGTAGCGTGGCGACGTGGAAGAAGACGGAATAAGTTGAATAATAACTAGACATGGGTTTTTACGATGTAAAAACAAGTGTACATTGCCACGTCGCATATCATTGCAGCATGGCTTTGCCTGCAGCATTGGACTTGCAGAATGAACTTTGACCAAGTTCAAATGTGTTTTCTATACCAGCTTGTGCCTGTCACATCAGCAGGTGTTTAGAATTAAGATAATCGTGTGACAATATGAAGTTTGAAGAGATTTTTTCTTAAAGTTGCATTAGCCRGGTTTTGAACCCTGATCTCCCACATGAAAGTCCTTGACATAGACCATTAGACCAATGGAGTTGTGGCAGAAGGTGGTGGCAGGGGTTGGTTTGTATGTGTGCAGAAAGAGGCCACATTGCCAGTACAATTATTGACACTACACTGCATAATATTACAACAATAGAGCAGCATTAAGAAAATATTATAGTATAACGTCAAAATAAAATCATATTAGTATTGTAAACACTGAACTACTGAGATTAAATATTATTAAACTATGGTGCAGTACCATATTGTGTAGATGCAGCAGGGGGCAGTATTGGACCAATACAAGGCTCCATTGACAGCCATTATAATTTTTTAAACATTAATAGTTCAAAAACTGTAAGTTTTACAGGCACCAAAAGGCATAGCCATCATTTGGCACAGGGGCTTTACAGATATAAATTACAATGGCAGCTCTAGGACAAAGTACGCAGGAGGAGAAGCATGCCAAAGTTGAGATGACTTGGATGGGAAATGAATCACAATAGTGTGCATTGCATTGGCAGTGCACACTGATTATGTCATCAGCATATAAATGTACAGCACCTTCACTAACAGCTTGTGGAATATCATTAATGTAAACAGAAAACAGAGTGGGGCCAACGATGATTCCCTGAGTCACACCTTTGGAAACGCAAAGAAACCGGGAATAGTGAGAGTCTACCTGCTGCACTCTGACGGGTAGTTGGAAAGCCATTTTAAAAACTAATTGGAAATTCCAATATTTACAAGTCTTCTGAATATAATGAAATGATTCAGGCGGCATGGTGGCTCAGTTGGTAAAGCTGATGCCTCTCAGCAAGGAAGTCGCTGGTTCAAATCCCGGCACGGGGACTTTTCTGGGTAGAGTTTGCATGTTCTCTCCATGCATGCGTGGGTTCTCTCCGAGTACTCCAGCTTCCTCCCACAGGTCAAAAACATGACTGTTAGGTTAATTGGTAACTCTAAATTGTCCCTAGGTGTGAGTGAATGGTTGTCTGTCTCGTTTGTCTCTATGTCGGGCCGTGTGATGGACTTGTGATCTATCCAGGGTGTACCCTGCCCCTTGCACTGGGACTGCTGGATATGGGCACCAGTGACCCTAGAAAAGGAATAAACGGATATAGATAATGGATGAAATGATTCACTGAATCAAAAGCTTTAGATAAATCAATGAAAATTGCAGCACAATGCTGTCTTGAGTTCAGAGTAAAGGCAACATCAACTACAACATTTAAAACTGCTGACACATCCCGGACCTGAATTGAAACTACACTGTGCACGAGATAACAAGTTGTTCACCTCAAGATGGCAAGTTAACTGTTTTTAAAAAAGTCTTTCCAGAACCTTAGATGCACAAGATAAAATAGAGATTGACTTATAAATTTTCAGGTCAAAGCGATAACTACCTCTGAAAAGGTGGTGCACAATAGTGGATATCCAGTCAGTTGGTATTTCACCAGTATGGATAGACAGGTTAAAAAGATTTACCAGTACAATAATGGAGGCTGCAGTTTTAAAAACGAAAGTTGCCAAACCCTTTCTCTCATTGGTAATTAGATATTTGAAAACATAACTCAACAAAATAGTGACTGAAATGACTCTGAATTATACTAATGTTAAAATAATAAAATAGTTCAAATATAAAAAAAAATACTGTGATTTTTAAATGAACATAGTCATGCCTGTTGATATGCCACTTGTTGCTCACTGACAATTGTATTGGCTTGATTAAAAGAAGAAACATATATTTTTAATTCATGTTAATGAAGTTGATGTGTGTGTATTCTTACAGTTTCAGCTCAGTGGCCTGCCTGTGGTCCACAACTGTTTTCTGTTAGCAGTATTTACTGCTCAGTATGAAGAGAGTCAGACCACAACAACTAACTGAATTCAGAAGAAACCCCACTTGAAAAGCAATTTATATTGTTTTGAAATGACTAAATGAAGGGTTTTTAACAGGCATAATATTTTGCAATAGCAGTTTTCAGAAATGTTAGCAAATGATTGATAATTCTTCTAGTTTGTGTTTTAAAGGTTAACACAAGCTTTTGTTGTGGCAGTTGGCCTCACATTTTACATTTGAGTGCAGTGACTTTAAAAACACTATGTCTGCCTCCCCCGGCTCTACAAAAATATTTCTATTTCCTGCTGGTTTTATTCTGGGTATGATGACGATAATTCACAGGGTGGGACTGAGACCAATGGTTTTGAGTCAAGACAGAATCTCTTCTGAAGTGGTTAAGTTCTCTTTGCCAGGGGAGAGAATAAAGGGATTGAGAATGAGTCTGCAGTGTCTCACACTTTGTCATGGTTGTTTTTCTTTGCAGGGGTCACCACAGCGAGGGAACGTGCATGAAAGATTTGGCAATTGTTTTATACTGAATGTCCTTCCTGACACAACCTGGGTTCGAACTATCAGCCTAGATGCTCACAATGCTTACCACTGAGCCACCTCAACACCCGCTGCCTCAGACTTTATAATGGTTCTTACTCTGTGGGTTTTCTCTACTAGGACTCTGGCTTAAGTTGTTCAGTTGATTTGAATGTTTTCGTCTTTCTTTAAGGTAGATAAACATTAAAATTACAATTATCAAGTTGAGCCAAAAATCTACTTACTGAAATGTCATCACCTTGGATGTGTTGCAATTTCTAGCTTTTGTGTAGTACAAGTTGTTAAAAAAACAACAACTCAGGAACAATATGTGTTATGGCTACAGTTATCTTAGTCCTTATTTAAGAAACATGACACTCCAACAGTTAAATGTTGTTTTCTGTACTTACAGTTTGGGTTGTAGCAGTAAGCATCCCATCTCTCACTTTTATTCACTCTGTATCCATAACTGATGATGCCAACTTTCCCAAAGCCACATTTGGAACCAGCCTTGACAATGGGGTAGCCAACACGACCTTTGTCAAACCATCCTGCAGCGCACACATGGAAACCTGAAGAGAAGAAGAAAGATGCTCTTTTCTTACAGTTTCACTGCAAACAAACAAGGAATGTCCTCTCATATTGTCAGCTGTGGGGAAGAACATAACAGGAAAACAATCACAGCTTGTGATTTACTCTAAACAAGGAAGCAATGACAGATTTGTACAGTACATGTGGGACTGTTTCTAATTTGCCTCAGCCCTGCAACAAATTACTGCTCTCTAGAAAATGTTTAATGTACTGGCTTTTTTCTAAGAAGAAAATGATACTACCTTTGTATTTACAGAGGAACTGACTGACAACATGAATTATTAGCAGATCAATGTAACTAAAAGCACTGGTTATTTAATTATAGGGACCTATATTTGCTGAGAGCATCATCTGATCTGTGTATGAGAATTGTACAAGCAATTACGAGTGATTAGCTGCAAACCTATTTGACGTGCCGCCTCCAGTTGTTCATAAGTGGCCAGGTGCCCTCCCTCATACTTGCAGACAGCCTTGGCCTCCTCATACATTAATTGGTACCTCCCTTTGCGGGACTCCCGGTGGTAAACTCCAGCTGCTCGTTCTGTTGAGGACAAAAGATTCTCCTGAGCTTCAGCCACAGTCATTTCCACCACAATCCACTAAGTAACGCATATTCTGAGAAATGACTTCACAATGCGTAATGTAAAGGCAAAAAACTGAAATATACAGATAGAGATTTTTGTTTTTAACAGCCCTCCTAACAGAAACCTCTAATTCTGTCTTTTAATGTAATCAAACTAGACAGTTTTACCACTAATTCTCACTGCCTGGTCCCTTTCATCAACCTATAAGATACGAAGTTAGTCAAGTTCCGTTGAACAAACGAGTTCAATCAGTTAATGTTAAAAAAAGGCTGACGTAATCAAGCTAAACTGACCGTGTAGTGAATAAACACAAGCATTCATTCTCACCTTGTAAACTCAGAAGAATGGAGCTCATAAAGGAAGAACTTTCGCAGTTCAATTAACACCCCAAATAGTGTCCTCTAAACTGGAAATAATATATTTCCTATGGATTTGGATAAAACTGAGATGAAGTCTTTTTCACACTTTTACAGCCTCATGAAGCTCTGCCATGTTGTAAACAAGCTGTTTCCAATAAAGTACATCAATACTCATTACTTGTGAATAACTACAGATGACCAGATATTTGGAATAGCACAAATGACTGCAGAAACATGACCACTTATTTCTGGATGATGTGGTTCTTTGGATTCTCAACATTGTCACAGTGAGACATTAAGAAAAAAAAAACAATCAAAAGTAAAGCTAAGATTTCCCTCTGATTTAGATACAGAATGCCCAGTATAAACAAGATAAATAAATCATTTAGTTAATATTTACCCAGCCATATTGAATTATGGAATACCCCATTTCTGTAGCCCCATGGTCGCACTTCCTTCAGCAGGAAACAGAAGGTCCAAAGAAAAAGCAGGACACGCATTTTACATTTGTTGCTGTGCAGCTTCTTTTTATAGATGTTTCCAGCTGCTCTGCCCTCTGCCACTTTGCTGCTACTGCTTTACACACAGAATACTGCCTTCCAGAGAAAGAGGAGGAGAGTACCAACCACTGTGAGATAATCACCAGCAGTCATAGATGACTCAGTCAATTCTGCTTGCACAATATACTTACTTCAAAGCAAATGGCATCCAGATGTTGAAGTATGTTTCAGTACAAAAAGAACTAAAGCAACCTCTAATAATCAGTTCTATGTGAAATGCAGTAAAACTAGAAATTATCACTTTTTGACATAAAAAACAACTTGCATCAATTTAATATAATTCTATTGCAGAGCAATATTTGTTCACTACCTGCATTTTTAACCTGATTACACTGTTATATAAGTTAAATGTAACATAAGAGGTAAAACATGTATTTTAAGAACTTTGCTTTGCCCTATGTATCACTAGAGATCACAATTGTGTTTCAAACCAATGACAGGCAGTCTCAGCTGTTCCTCAGGTTTTCTTTTCTGACAATCTGAGGTCAGACAAATTTTGCTGCTTCAATTGGTCTCATCCCTGGAATGTTCTGCTTGACATTTCGACATTTTTCCATTATGGTGGACTATAGCTCACTACAGCGCAACTTAATCCTCAATTAGATGTGATGGGTAATTATCAGGATTTCAGGTAATAGTCAAAGAGGAGCAGGTTTATCAGACAACTGACACGGAGACCAAATAAAAAGGTAAGTGTATTTATTTACAAGTGATAGGGAAATGTACAGGGAGTCCAGGCTGTGGAGGGAAAGGAAGAAGGTGAGTATCCAGGTAGGTACTTTAATTTAGGAGGAGCTTGGAGGATATAATAATGTAATGATTCTGTGTTTAAGTTCTGATATTGTTTCGTGTTTGTTATGTGTTACAG